AATAATTTTAAAAAGAAAAGAGAAAGCCAAGCACTTCCTACCTCCTGCACGTCAAGGAGATCTGCCTAGCAAAGGCACCAGAAAGTTTAGGTGCAGCACAGCTTTATACTCCTGTTTGGTTTAGGCTTTATTTCTGAGTTAAAAAATAATATATAAACACACAATCACCTCCAAACTCACAGATGGTTCCACAGTCATCCTAAATGGTCATGAAATATTTGCACTAGTGGAGTGGAGTTGCCAGGCGGGAAGAGAGTGCCTAAAATTCTGGCTATTCTTTTCCAGTCTGTTAACCGCATGCAGATTGCTCTGCTATTGCCTTAAGCAAAAATGGCAAAAAGCAGCAGCAGTCCTGCACATGTCTCCAGCTAAGCTAGTCACCAATTAAAAAAAAAAAAAAAAAAAAAAAAAGCTGTGCAAACATGCCTTGTTTCAACTGCTGTAATGGGCTGAAGTTGTGATGTGTTACCCTAAAATACTCCAAAGTGACACGTGCACTCACGACTCCAGTCCCTGGGAGCGAATGTTTAGGGCTTGGCAGATTCCTGCTGTTGAAGTACATGCAGCTCCGGAAGGATCTGTGCTAGTTCTAAAGGGCAGCTTGTCAGTACATGAGTTTTGTTGTGCTTTTCTGGATGCCAGACAATTGGCCATTCTCCACATGCAGTTGGCACTAGTTTGTCTGGAGTTGTCTTACAGCATGACCTCAGTTTATCACCACAGTGGCACACAGCAGCTTCTGCCCTTATTTGCCCTGTCCCTCTCCATGAACTACAAAGCACCAGTGGCTGTTGCAAAGCCAGGCACAGGTAGTATCACTGCTGTCCAGGGAACAAGGAACACCTTTTGGCAGGAGTGGTTTGTTATCTAGCAGCCTTTCTCCCCTTAGTGTCCACCTACCTCAGTTCCTTCCAGGAACTTCCCAAGATTCGTGTGCAATCCAGCCTTTGGATATTTCAGTGGGGCATTGCTGTATCTATGAATAGAGCTACGGCACTCACTGCTGTCTAGGTAGCCTGCTTGCCTAAGTGTAAAAATGGAGTCGGATTTGGCAGCTTCCAAATTATGGGTAGGGGGTTCAAGATAGCCCTGAATATCCCAAAGAATATCCCAAGATCAAAGGTTTCTTTCAGATAGAAAGAGGCAATTCAGTCTGCTACAACCTACCTCTGTTAAATAATTTTAAGCCACAGGAAAACCAAACAAAACAATAAAAAAAGTAAATAAAAATCGAACAAACAAAATAACAACAAACAAGAAACACCCCAACCCAAATCCCAGGCTTGATATTTACAGGCCATTTACAAGGAATGCAGGGTGATCATTTCAATTAGCTGCCTGACCAGACCAGCCCCACTTCTGCCCTACTAGGGCTGCTGGAGTAAATGTTGATGCATGATGTGTGGCAGTGAACAGGAGCATCGCTACTCTGTTGGGGAAAGGAGTGATAGCAAAGAAATAGAACTGGATACCATCACGATCCTTGTCTTGTGCCCTAACACTCATGACTCCTGGAGCTGCCTCCCTTGCCACTCTCCAGAGCTGGGATAGTGATTCCAGCATACCTCCTCCCTTTGGCAGCCCGGTAGAGGGATTAGGATGGAGTTACTTCCTCCTGTTCTCAGGCAAAGTGTCAGAGGAGCACTGCCCATGTGCTTGTACAGCACTAAACACTATAAAGCCCAGCTGTTAGCTGACCTCCCATCTGTATATGCTAAAATATTGTTACCAGGCATGTCATAAACAGAAGACCACAACTTCAATGAAGATCACAAGTGTGTGCAGAGAAGACAATTTTATCCTAAAAGGAACTGGACTAGGCAGGAAATCAGGGCTACTGATAAAGTAGGCTTCTGAAATTGTCTCTTTCCTCCCCTAACCCTCAGCTTAATGCAAGAGTAACGCTTGTAATAGCAAGTTATAGAAATAACTTCTACAGCTACTTGTCCCGAGAGACTGCTTCTTCAGGATAACACACAGTAGATAACACTTTGCCTTAAACCGTGCACTTGGAATGTAGCACCTTCTCTGTTCACCTGCTGCTCAGTGCTGTTGTATAGCAGTGTCCATGAAACAGAAAGCCACACACAGAGGTTTAAAATTGTTGCCAAAAATTACAAGTTCAGAGGAAAGGTTTTATTAGTATTTTGAACTTGAAGTACACTGAGCAGGGTGAACGTTGTTATTTCAGTCAGTTTGGGCTCCTATCCAGTACAAAAAAAAAAAACCAACCCATAGCTGATGTGCAACATGCCAGGATAGTCTTTGGCAAGGGACATCCAGGCACTTAATTTTACTGTCACATTGGTCTCTTGCAGTGGTACAGTTTTAGAGCCTGGCTCACCATGAGCAACTAGACACCACGCAGAAGAAAGGCCATTTTAGGACTTTTTTGAAGAACCCACAGAGCCCAGAGGTCTAAAAAAGGCAGCAAGTGTTGAAATAAGGTTAGCAACATGGTCTGACATATTTTTTATTTTTCTTGGCAAACCCAAAAGATGTGTTAATGGAAATACCATTTCTGTAAAATGTTTTTAGACCTAAAAACACTTTAAAGTGACAATCTTTTCACAAAGTGACAAGAATGGGGAGGAATAAGATGAACTTTACCATTTCAGGAATTAAGACATTTAGACTGAACAGGGTGGCAGCATGCTGCTTGGGAGATGCCTGTGTTGAAAGTGAGAAGGGAAACTTTAGTCTAGACCTGTGAATAGGTGTAGCAATTTATTAGAGCACATACCCTTTCCTTTCCTCAGTATTCAGTGACTAAGCATGGATTTTTACCTTAGCTTTGTCTATACCTGCTGTGGCCTGGACTACCTTACACCTGGAAAGGGGTTTTGCTCTTCATTGTCTTTTCCAATTCAAGAGGTTAGGGAACAGAACAAAATTATCAGATAGCAAATGTCAAAATCAAAGAAATATTTTTACCCCCTCATAAAATCAAGGTGTAGAACTTCTTGCTGCAGCAAACTGTGGAAGAAGCTATAAGTATATAGATGATTCATAAAAGAGATGAGTCTATTTTAGATGAAACTAAGTGCATCAGCAGCTACATAGCATGCAGTGCCAGGGTTCTATTATAGCAAACCCCAAACCCCAGCACACTTAACTGTGAGAAGACAGGATTCTGTAAACCAGAAAAGGATTGTTGTCTGTCCTCTGAGTATCTCCTGACAGCCACTGGCACTGCATGCAGCACCTCGTGCCCTGTGCATCATCCAGGAGGCACATGAAGTAAAAGTTTTGCAGGGGAAGGAGGACCCAGTTACCCAGCTGAGAACTATGCTGCACATGGACACACAAACTGCAAGATCCTGCTATGATGTTTCTTAACATTTGAGTGCTTAACTATGTCAACTTAAGTGCTTTTGTGGTTTTTGCTATATATTTAGAATAGGAAGTGGTCCATGCAAGTATACTTATTTCTGAACTAGATAGCTAATAGGGACTACAGTCCAAATTTTGCTAGACTTTATGGTATTCCTTCCTTCCACTCATACTTTTCACCCAATTCTGCCTTAAAATTCAGCCTGTCAATCAACTGCAGACACTTTTCATAGTTTAGATTATTTCCTAGCTTCCTTCATAGAGCACCAAAAACTCTCCACACAGTACATTGCTGCTTATATGTTTGAAGCATGCAAGTAATGATCGTTTTTCCAACAATTCAGGAACCACTTTTACATCTTTTAGCCTATGTGCATATAACAGGATTTGCTTCTGAAGTCTCGTTACCTTTGTCACTTCTACATGCAATACTTCACAGCAACCCAAGTAGTAATAAGCCCAATTCTGCTGTAGAAGTAAGATGTTAAAGGGAAACTTTGTTCTCAGCCCATCTCACTCTTACTTCTGCCCCCTACTCTTTCCCCCTCTCTCCTCCCCTCCCCTCCCCTTTTGGTTGTTTGCTCTCCTTCAGGACCAAAACTCCAGCTGCTCTAAATCTAAACACTGCTCAGAACATATGGCAACCAACAGCAAAATGAGTTCCAGTGAGCACTGGTGGGCCATATCCTTCCTGGGTATTCACATAGGCATTCAGCCAAAACAGTCATTTCACAATAAAATCTTTGGGCTAGAATCTACAGAATCCAGCAGACCACTCAAAACAATTAGAGGGATTACTGCAGGTTGAAAAATACCATGTGTTTGGTCAGTATTGACTCAACAGAGCTGAAGGAGGTCTCTCTAGAGACTTGCATAGCACAAAGCATCAGCAGCACTACTGTCTTCCATACATTTTTCCTCAACATGCCCAAGCCTGGTCTGGGATTAAGCTGCTTCACACTTCTGATATGCAACCATCAGAAGATCAGCAGTGCCATTCAACTCCAAGGGGTACAGAGGGGTTTCTGGTACTCCCAGCATGAGCTGCAGCACATGCCGGGGTTAATGTCAGAAAGGTCAAACACTTGTCTGGTAAAAAATTTTTGTAGCTTACTGTTTTGTAAATACACAATAAAATAAAATGGCAACTGTGAGTTGTTGTCTAAACTCTCAGATTGTTTAGACATCCAAGAGAATTTTCTCATGAAAATGCAGCAGGGCTGAGGGAAGCTGATGGGAATTATCATTTAATACCCACAGTCTGTCTAGAAGACAGCTGCTTGAAAGAGGCATTTTGACACATCAAACCACAAAGTAAAGGTCATGTAGTACTACAGACTGAGGCCTTCAGGTGCAGTGCTAACCTCAGGGGGTACCTAGATCCTCCCCATACATATCAGCTGGCCTACAAAGCTGTATCAATATCCCATTCCATGATGTGTCCCATCAACTCTGTGGAAAGCAAGCAGGGTGATATCAAAACAGCACCAAGTGAGCGAGACCACCAGATTCAGCCTCCAAGGGCATCTGTCTCATGCGGTGTAGGGGAAGCTGCTGCCCTCTTCTTCTCATACAAGTCAGAGTGAACTTCCCAGAAAGGGACCAAACAATTTTTATTTTTCTTTTTAAACTAAATGCTTTTAATAGAAAACAAAATACAAAATAACTCTTTCCAGAAAGCAGAAATATTTAATCTCTCCAAATGACAAACTAGAACGTGCTTTTTCTGCAGATCCTTGTAAATGCTGATGATTTATCTCACAAAATGTTCATGAAACCGGTATTGCAACATTTGAGAAAAATCCAACACTGGCAGAGCTGCCTCTGTGTACACACAATAATTTATTAATACTATTTTTCCCATGTCACTTTGTGTGTTTCTCCTCATCCCCCTCTCCCTAGACTGCCAACTTCCATTTATGGAAATCTTTCTGTGAGGCGCAGTGGTGGGTTGCCATGCCACGTTTGGGAGGCCAAACGTGGCTGTTTCCATTCTATGGTGCCCTCCCTCCAGACAAGGCAAGTTGTTTGTTATTCTTAAAGCCACCACTCTGTCCCCACTGTCCTCCCATCCTCAAAACACAGTGCAACCAGATCAGAAAATTTCCTAATTAATGGAACATAAATACACATAATCACAGCTAGTACCAGGAACCAAACCCAAACAACAATGCAGAGATGGGCCCCAACTGAGGTCAGATTTCCTTGCCCTTACTGAAAAAGAACAAGGGTATTTTCTACTTATTTAGTCCAAAATATTCCGGAAGTGCTATAGGGAGCTGAAATAGTTAGGACTACTATCACTGTAGAAAATACATAATGTTCTTTTAATAGAAGGGTCTTAAAAATGCTGGTCCTCTGCAATACCAGGAAAGCAAAAGCAAAACAAAACAAAAACCACTGAGCCAGTAGTTCTCCACACACTCAAGCCGAATTAACAGTAGATAAGATGTGCCCATCAATCAATGAAGGATATTTAAGTGCAGGTCACCAGCTTATCTGGTTGGCAGTTTCACTTGTCTGGGCCAGGCTTTCAGTTTCCTCAAGTTACTGGATTTACTCCCCTTTTTCCCATTCCTAAAAGTAAAAAGTTAAAATGTGTATGTATTTTCATCAATCCTCCTTTTTTTCCTTATTCTGTTCAACAGCACAGACATCTTAAAGCATTTGCATCACTCTGAACCATGCCTTTCAAGGGGGCAGAGGAAGAGAAGTGTTTCACAGTCAGTAATCTCAGTTTGCAATGGACTCTGGCATACAAGACACCCACCCACTTCCCTAAGACAAAAAGCAAAATTAATGTTCCTGATTTTCTTGTGCAATTCCAGTCACTAGAAGAAGGTTACAGGCCATGAACTGTACGCTCAGTACATTATTCATTTGTCCAGTATATACACCAACCAGTTCACTGGAAGACCCATCTGCAGGGGCGTTGCAGTACGTGTTTCGAATGTCCCAGACCCGAACCGAATTGTCCATCGACGCCGAAGCAATTAAACTACTGTCAGGGCTAAAAGTAAGGCTGGTTATGTTGTCTGTGTGCCCCCTCAGTTCTTTGTAAAGAGTTCCTGATGCCAAGTCCCACAGCTTCAGCCGCTGGTCTTCACCTGCCGATGCCAGGTACTTACCGTTGGGGGAAAAGGCGAGCGCCAGCACGGGGCCCCGGTGCCCGGTGAAAAGCCGCACCGAGTTGCCCTGCTGGGTGCTCCACAGGCGCACGGTTTTGTCCGTGGAGCCCGTGGCTAAGTAGTTGGAATTGGGGTGGAACTTGATGCAGTCCACGTCGGCCAAATGGCCCGCGTATATTCGCAGCGGGTACGTCCGATCGAACGACCAGAGCCTCGCGGTGCGATCGTGGGAACCGCTGGCAAAGTACAGGCTGCAGGGGCTAATATCCAAATCCCAGACAGGATAGGCATGTCCTTGGTACAACACAGTGTTTGTAAAGCTTCCGAGGTCCCAGTACCTGATGGACATGTCCTCAGAACAAGATAAGAGTCCTGAACTGTCTGAAAGGAACCTTGTGCTATACACAGGTCCACAGTGTCCTCTCAGGATCTTCATTTCTGTGCCTGCGTTGTCATCCTCTTCCTCCTGTCATGAAGAAGAAAAAGAAACAAGGAAGGAAAGCATGTTTATCTGTTCAACAAATATAAAAACCTCCACGAGGAAACCAGGAGGGTGTTAATACAGAAGGAGTTAGATTATTTCCTTTATTTACTTTAGATGTGGCACAGTTTGTGCAACTCTGAGACACCAACATTGCTGGTACATTTGCTACAAGTGAATACTGAAAGAGATGGTGAGATAAGACTTTAATTTTGGTAGCCTTATGCTCGGTCCAGAAGGCATCCTAACCTGAGAATGCAGGCACAGAGGGGAAAAAATATTTAATGACATTTTTCCTTTTGCTAAAATATGCTTTTAGCAAAACATATGCATAGTCTCTATCCACTCTACTACAGAAACACTTGGCTAAGATGTTGAAAGCAGTTCTTGGCATCTACTCTTTTTGTGTGGTCATTGTTGGAAGTGAATCTCCCAGAGGAGGGAAACAATCACAGACATCTCAAACAAAAGGCAGGAGATGGAAAGACAAAGTATATTTGACAAGCTGTCTGCTTAACCTTCTTTCTCAATCCTGCAAGTGAACAGAAATGCAGCAAGTCTCTAACACCTATTTCTACCTCCAAGCTCCATCAGGATGCTTTCACACCCTCACCCTCCAAGAACCACCTCTGAGAATAGCAAATGTATGCAGCTTATTTAGGCCAATGTATCTATTTTGGATACGCAGGAGAAGATGAACAATCACAAAAATGATGGCACTGGAAACCTTTCTATCCTGTTATTCTCTAATTCAAGTACCAGGGCAGATAGTCAACAAGTAAAGACTTTTGTGTTTAAAGACTATTCAGTGAGCTGAGCTAAAGGTATCTCCTGATGAATGGTAAGAGTCTCTAAAAGCCTACTCAGGGAGCACCTCCTGACACTCTAAGGCTACAGACTACACAGGTTTCAAGAGATCTCAGAAGTGTCCTTGCCTGACAAGCAGGGGTCTCACTGACAGTACAAGATGACACTTGCTTGGGGTACAACTGCGTAGTAGCCTGAGACAGCCCTCCTCAGGGCTCTCAGGAGGACACTTTTCCTTAGTACTGAATCAGTAACACTCATTCACAGACAATCTCTGCACATCAAATTCAACACAACATCCCTTTGTTTGTGAGCAGCCCCTTTATCATTTATCATCTTGAACTGGCCCATTTCCTGCAGAAGGAGCACTTCCTGCCCTGAAAGGAAACCCAATTCCCCAGGGCTGCTGGACTGTTGACAACCAGCAGAAGTCAGAGCAGCAGAAGTCAGTGTGTTGTAAGCAGCTCTTTATCTCCCACACCCCCACCCCAGGCCTCAGGACCCATAGACAGTTTGGCTTCAGACTTGGCAATAGCCCAGGAAGTGCTTCTCCTCCAGTGCTTTCAAATTTCATGCTGGAGATGAGCAAACTCTGACTTGGCCATCTCCTTGCCTTTCTCCATCTCAACAGCACAGTACGTAGTAGGCAGCAAGCCATCTTTAACAATGCTGCTTCTCCTCAGTGCCCATGGGAGCGTTATGGTGGGGCTGGGAGCCAACTTCCTCTCTGCTATGCAGGTGAGGCAGAGACAAACTGCAGGCTCTGGCATGCAAGGCACCATTCTTATTCAAATTGCTTTTCTACCTCAGGTAGAGCATGGCTTACTGGAATCTACAGCATCTCTAGGATGTGTTGCCACATTAAAGGAGAATGGCTGATACCCGCAGCATTTTGTACTATTTAATTATGACCATAAGATTTCTGACAAGTTACCACTGCCCATTCAAGCTGCCTGTATTGTACTACAGTTTCTGCAAATTTTGCAAGTCCAGGTACTTAATTTTGTGCATTCAAATACAAGGCTACATGGGCTGTCTGCAAGCACCTCCTCTTCCCTCCTTGTATTACTGTACCAGGAGACTTGACAACACCTTTTGCAGCATTGAAACTCCTACTCCTATATGGTCACAGGTAGCAAATCTTATCTTTCTGTTTGACACTCACTTAGCACAACTGCACACTCCTGTCACAGCTCTCTGAAAACAGCACATCTATAATGCTCCTGAGTCACCACATTTTTCAGTTTCCTCCCTATCCAAGTTAGTCTGCTGACCAGATTAGCAAGGCAGCTGCAAGTGCAGCCACCAAGCCTCAAAAAGCAACAATGATAGCCTCAAAGAGAAACACCATAAGCTCACATTCCTCCCTTTTTTTTTTCTAACCAGTAACAGGTTTTCCTGGGTTCATAATCTCTCTCATCCTGCAGTGCTCTAAAGATGCCAAAAGGAAGACCTCATATCTGCCTGTAGCAGAGATGCCCTAGCAGGGAACAATGAAGAAGGATGGCACACTTTGCAGGACAACTTTTACTGCTACTTCCAGAATTCCCTCCTATCTGCCATCAAGCCAGCATCATTCCCACTCATTATCACTTGAAGGACCACTGCCACTTAAAAGCAGAACCTTAGAAGCAGAGCTAAATGGGGTCAAGTCTTAGTCTTCACAGGATTTAAAGGCTGGCACTGTTGTCGCTTGGAACAGAGCATTATTTTCTGATGTTGATTTATGGAGTACCAGCAATGAGCATGGTAAAATTGCAAAGAGACAAACAATACTTTCATTTGTACAGCTACAAAACTCCATTTTTATACTGGACCCAAAGTAAGAGAGACTATAAAGTGGCATTTGTGAGATGCTACTATACAGAAAACAGAATTACTGTATTCCAAAATAATAAGCCTCTCTTATTTGCAAGAAGCAAGACTACACTAGTGAAGTACACTGCAGCATGACACTGAGCAAAATTTAGTAAAACTACACCTAGAAGATGATTTTGACCTTTGTGACACAAAGGCTTCACACAGACTAGGAAAAATCTTGTTCTAACACATTTGCTAAGTCTCACCTTGGTTTACATATATATATATACACACACACACACTCCTTCACAAGAAGAATTGATAAACCCAACAGAGTAGCTTTAGTGCCACCCTGAACAACATCCACTGAAACTAGCATGATTTTAGGCCTTAGTGACTGCACAAAAGGAAGGATCTGTTTCTTTGCAAAAAATAAAAAAACTAGGCTGAAGACTACTTATTTAATGCATTACTATTTAAATACATTATCCAAAGCTAATTATACAACACAGAAATCAACCAAACCCAATTTTAACATCCTCATAAGTTATTCCATAGAACTCATAGAAGTAATGTCAAAGTGCATTCAGAATTTTTGTTCTTTGTCAAAGTGTGAATCAGCTTTATCCCTTTGAATTGCTGCTGATCAGACTGCAGTGACAATCTGAAATACAGCCCCTGCTCACACTGAGCTGCAGCCCAGTCAAGGTAGTCTGGTTGGTCTTGGTATCTATGGCTTCCTCTCCCATGGAATCCATGCAATTGCTGGCCTGTTCCCGCCTGCAATGCTGTAAGGTGCCCATGTATTTCCACTTAGGGCTCCCAGATAACTGATTTTATTTCCTTGTAGTCAAGGAGATTTCATTTGCATTTGGTAACCAAATTTGTGTTGAGGCTGGTATTGGTATCCTCCTCAATTCTGAACTCCTGCTCAGGTGACTGTTTTGTCAGTGGTGGAAATTATTCAGGGCAATGATTACTTTGATCTGTGCTCGGTTTTGACCAGTTTTTTGCTGCAGACCTGTGCACAAAACATCCAATAGCCACCAAAAGCTATTCAGGATTCCATGAATTCCAGGATTCCATGGCTGTCTCCTAATACATGTACCATAAGCAAGTCTATGACTACATGCCAAAAAAAGTTAATACACACACTCCTGATAACCTGGCAATATCTCACTTTTCCACAGTCCAGAGCCAAAGAAGGTGACCTGCTGATTTACCAAACTTTTCTCTGTTGCAGGTGCTGATATTTGGCTTCTATGATGGGCAATACACAGTCACATGCCCTGTGAACTCTTGCAGTTTACAATGAAAACGAGTTCATAACTCTACTTTGGGCTAGTCTGACCCACTTACCTGCTCACTCTGCAAAAAGGCTAACCTGGGACACAGGGAACATGCTGCTGTGCTGTCTCACCTTGATGTCTGCCTCTTTTCTCAAGCTGTTTAACAAAGCAATCCCTAATCACAGATCCCTAAATACACCAAGCTCTCGGCACTCTTCCAAATTAAATAGAACCTTGCCATTAAATATTTTTTAGAAGGAAAAAAAGTAGAAAAAAGGGTGTCTCTCCTGCTAAACACTCAACACAAGAACAAATGAGTTAGTTTGTTTTTTTTTTTTTTGTTTAGGAGAAGAGTGATTAAATAACAGAAGAGTCAAAATTTTGATCTCTAACCAGATAGAAGTTGCTACTTGGGCAGTTGTGTGGAGAGGGAAGAAAAGCTGTGACTAGAAAGAAAAAAAAAAAGGTCAAGTAAAAGGTGCCACCTAGCACTGCATGTGAAGTAATGGTACACACATCCCTGTTCTTCTCTCCAGCATTCTGGAGTAGGAAACCTCAGAAGTTTCTACTTCAGATTCCTTAACAGAGACATTTTGCATAATTTTTCCATAACTCTTGACCTCTGGTAAATTAAGGTGACACCTGAAATACAGTTTTGCACACAAGCATCTGATCAGACTTCTTGAGCTCTTTTCCTTACCGTGTCTATATTTTCCTCTTCCTGTGCGTCTGCCCTTCTCTCCACCCTTCTGCCTGGCTGTTCTGAGCTACTTCTCATCCCAAAGAAGGCTCCTCAGGGAAGAGAGCCTACTCTAGTCATCTGTCCTTTCTGGGCTGCCTGTCTACTGTCATCTCTTCCAGGACAGCTGGAGGAAGGGCATCAGCACCCAGGACTAACAATCTATGACCTAAGCACAGACTGATTGCACCTCAGTTTACCACTTACAACCACTGCAGGGAAGAACAAGGATGACAGTAGGTTATCAAATCTGTTCATCAAGGCAGGCAAGTTGTGCAACAGCCTCAGAGTTCCCTAGCACATGACTACATACTCAACACTCCATGTTCAAAGCAGGCCAGTAGAAGGGGAAGAAGGGGGAAAAAGGGTATCCAAACCTCCTCATCCAGGATGTCACAAGCCAAACGGATGCGGGACACATCAACAAGGTGGGGCTCAGATTTCAATTTCCTGGAGCGCAGGCTCCACAGCTTCACACATGAATTATCGAACCCAGCAGCGAGCAGCTTGCTATTTGGTGAAATCTCTGCAGTGTTCAGCAACTGCTCCGTGTTATAGAAGGCATAGAAACAGATGGTGGTTAAGGAAGGGGGCCCGTCCTTGACGCGTTTAATGCTGTCCTGCAGTAAATCCAGCGCTGCCTCATTCTGCAGAATGGAAGCTGGCACGTCGCTGGGCTCCAGGCCGTTGCTCTCGTTGCGTGAGGAGCTCCCACCGGCATAGAGCTGGTAGTCAGTCCTCTTGGCAGGCTGCACATCCAGGTGAATGTGCAAGGTCAGGACTTTGCACAGGGCGTTGTTGTTGTCACTTTGGAGGTAGCGAAGAAGGTAGTTGTAGCTGTCCTCTTGAAGGCGGATGACGTATTTGTTGTCCAGAAAAGCCCGGAGCTTCAAGTTGGACAGGATATCTTGAATAGTCATGGTAGTCTGCAACTGTTCAATGATATCCTTCTGGCTGGCATTCTGCAGGAACATGCCATGGAAGCGGCTGTAAAAACTGTCCACTGTGCTTTTTAGGCCATTCTGGACCATGTTCAGATGGAGGTAGACGAAGAGGGGATATAGAAGAGGCATCACTTCATGGCTGTGCTGAGAGTCTGAATCTATATTAAAAAAACCAAAAAACTTTGAATGACTTCTCAAACCACTTCCTATTGGGAATAAAACAGAGCAAGGATGACTACTGAGAAAGCCCTGACAGTGACATTGGAAAGCAAGCAAAAAAGAGACATTTGCTGTCACATCTAAGCAAACTTCTGTCATCTAAAAGAGGTACAATAGAGATTGCCACATCAGTGAGGTACCTTGTCAGAACAAAATGCAGATATTTCTAATGTCTTTTCAGGTGTGGGACAACTAATAATATACCACCTCATAAAATACATGACAGTTGAATTTTCCCCATTTATTTCAAAAGAAAAAGCATGCTCTTTGTATCCTTTGTTTATTGTGATATATGAACTTTAAAATGTATTATTTATATTTAAAAGAGTATTTTAAGTGTTTAAGCCAAAATTATTTATCTAGCTTAGCTGGCCTGAGCTTTTTTTTCTCTCAGCTTCAGTAAAACGTGAGTGTGGCGCTTTGGATGGAACTGATTTGTCTTCAGGGGAAAGGAAGCTACAGTTTCCAAAATGTACTGCAATATGCTGTGCTCCTGTTTTATTTCTGTGCCTGCCCATGTACATGCTTTTCTCTCTCTGCCAAGGCAAATCCCAGCAGTAATTCCTAGTACACAGTGTAACAAACCCCGATTAGGCTGTGCAGTACCTTGCAGAGGCTGCTCTGTGCAACAGCTCCACCCCTCCTTCCCCAGCTTCTCTGGGGCTGTTTGCCAGCTGCAGGGAGCTGTGAGGAGCAGAGCCTGCCCAACGCCATAGCAACAAACAGGGCCACAATGAGTTACTACGACAGGACCAAATGGTCCCAATTACTGGAAAACAAATAGGCACTGCTGATCCTCAAACATTTGCTGATCCTCAAAATGCAGAAAGCATTGCTGCTTTTCAACATGCTCTTCCCTCCTGCCACTCACCAACGCATGATCTCTTTTCTCCCTTTCCATTAGGTTATTTTTCCTTCGTGTTGAGCACTCTGCTAGACTTTCTCTAGTCCATACTGTGTCTCTGTCTCATTTCTACAGGAGTAACTACAGATTATGCATGGAGTGCAGTGTATGCATACATGTTTGCATACTTGAGCATCACTCTTCTTCTCGTCCCACTGAAACTGGGCCAAAGCCAGTGAAAACAGTGGTCTGCATGTAGTAAAAGCTCTAAGCAGTCAGCAGGTCTCTTTTTTTCTCCAGGGGCACTAGCCCAAAAATGAAACAAGAGGAAGGATCTCACTTTGCAGTAGGGGAAAAAGGGAAGATATGGGAAGTTAGCAGAAACAGGAACAAAGAAAATGTTCCCTAGGAACATATGAAGAGGTTACAGGAACTGGGTCTGCCTAGCCTGAAGAATAAGGGGGCATTCAACTGCTTGCCTTCAGTACCCAGTAGGACATTATAGAGGCAAAGGAGCCAGCTCTTCTCAGAGGTGCTCAATGGAAGGACAACAGGCAAGCTGCTGCAAGGGAAATTCTCACTGAATTGCAGCAGGGCCCCAGAGATGCACAGCAATCTCCAGAGTTGTTTGATTTTCTAAATCTGACTGGAAAAGGCTCTGAGCAACCTGATCAAACACCCATCTTGCCCTGCTTTGAACAGGTGGTTGAACTAGAGACTGCTTAGTTAAGTTGCTCTGTGTCACTAATCCCCTGCCCACTCCTCAGTGGGGCAGGCATCACAGAAATGGGAAGTGCCCTGCTGTGCCTTGTGGCTGGTTGGCAAGCTACTCCCTTGAACAAACAGAGGTAGTTCATCTGTGTAAGATATCGAACTAGAGCAACGGGGACAAAAAAGATGAAAGCAGTCTACCTGAATACCAAAACCTAGCACTTCATCAAGCATTAAGCAAGCCCTTCACCAAGCACTGAACAGAGCTATCATACTTCTAAAAATCTATTAAATCATAAAGATTTACTTCAGCTACTAAAGTGCAAAGGTATTGAACTGCTGTAGATGACAAGGCTCCAAGAATTCACAATTTTCTGCCTTTGCCTTCCTGCTCTCTTCCCTTCCAAAACTATCAGAAATAATAAACCCAATGTTATGCACAGTGGGATCAAATCCTTATACTGGACAAATGTTGTGTGCGACAGCATCACTTTCCTTGGTACTGTTCTTTAAAAATTCTGTCTGCTTTCTTCTTCCCATGCTGGAGACTTATAGAAGAAATAAGGACATTCCCAAGAGTACTTGTTAAAAAATATAGAATAATTATAAAAAAATTTAAATAATTATTTGACTTCTGCATCATTATGGAGTAAGATATTTTTTACTTTGCTGTATTGCTCCAGTCTCAAAGCTAGTACAGCTAAATTTACAGGAACAAATTCTCCCTTAGAAATCCAGACCATCATAAAAACAAGCCAATTACGGATAAAGTTTAAAACCTTAAACTAGAATACAACAGAGAACTACAGTCTTTTCTCAGTTACTTGCCTTTCACATAAAACACTGATTTTCCTTCCTGTCCTATGTAAATATGGTGTTGTCTAGAAGACCTACAAAGTGCAAATGCTTGAACAAGAAAGAGCAAAGAGCCAGCCATCTATAAAACGCAAAGCTATTCAGCACATAGAAAACAACCAAAAAAAGAAAAATGAAATATTTCTATTTTAACTGAAATCTCAAAACTAGAAATCAAAACATTGTTAGAGACATGATTTCAAATTTTACTATATTACCCTTTACTCATTTCAATGACAAAAAAAGTCAGTCTGTGTTTTTTGATTTACCTGTCAGAAAATTGCGTAATCGTCCAAACTGTACTTCATATTGCTGGGGCTCTGCCAGGCAGGGAGCTGCAGACACGACGTTGGCACAACCAGACTCAGATTGGACTGTGAAATAAAAAAAGCAAAACTTATATGAGGATTTAAGGTTTTTTACATAGGTGTCTGAAAACAAAGCTTCTCATAAAATCCAAGGTATGCAGCCACTCAGATGACATTTCATCTTTAAAACCATTCAGGTATGACATAGTCCAAAGCACCTAAACATGGCATTAACCACCTAGACAGATCCTGAAGGAGAAAATACACCGAAAGCTAAAACCCACCCTAAAAATCTCAGCAACTCACCTGCTCCACCCAGAACACATTTTCAAGTTTTCAAATACAACCTTAAATTCCCAAGAAGTGCAGTGTAACAACCATCAGAGACCCCTTAGAAGATTTACAACCGTGGTTTTACAACTTTACACTCAGAAAATATGAAGAAAGCAACATACAACTTTCTCCAAATTAAAGTTTCTTTTCCAGTGAGTCACACCAACCATCATGAAAAGGTCTAAAGTGACACTACTTCAGATTCTCAAATTTCTTGTCCCGGTCATTATAATTTACAACAAATTATTATCATTTATTAAGTCTTACAGAGGTGGTGGAGAAAATACTGAATGTCTACGCAAACACTTTGTAATTTTTAACCAAAATCTTCCCTCCTCCCTGAGGATTTTAGGTTAAGGGGGAGCTGACAACTGACCACAAGCCCAGTTGTTACGGTCTGCTCAGACCATGTTAAACTCTTTTTCAGAACCAGATTCTGGAAAAAGCGGTTCTGAACTGTTTAGGAAGGGAATTGGCTTCTCCTTCTCTGGCTGTTCTGCCAATGGCCTGGAATCCACAGGAGACTTCACACAAGTTTACAGACATGCATCAAGGAACCCCAGGCACATGCAAATGCCAATGATTAGAAACCCAAGTTTTGCTGTTCTAAACAGAGCACAAGAGGGCAAGGAGTTTCACTATTTCCCTTTCATTTTTTTTTCTTCAAATCGTAACTCTGGTCCCCTCCAAACCCCCTATTTTTATTACTTTCACTTCAACTTATTTTGGTCTTCCTTGCCCTGCACCACTTTCCGTCCTCTGCCTTTCTACTCCTGATTGACTGGGGGGCTTTTTGTTCCAGCACTTGGCTCATGCACAGAGGCACAAGTCTGACAGCCCTGGAAGTCTATAAACAACATTATCAAATGTTCACACGCTGCAGAGAGATAGGCCAGCCTCCAGCTCATCTCAATGCCTCTAATTAGAAAGAGATCAGCACATGGTACACAGGCAGCCTGCTGCTATTCTTCCCCCACTCCTCTCTCTTTCCCTCTGCTAAGACACAGGTTTACCTTCCTTCAGTTCATGTAAATACAGGAGGTATGTTTGGCAAGCTGAATTCAGTTCTTGAAACAGAGAAATGGGCTGAGCTCATCATTCTCTCTTGGGAAAAAAAAAATCAAAACAAAACCAGATTCCAGCACCAATATGATATCATCTCTTAAATCAGTTCAGATATAAATGAATAGAACTTGCTGAAAGGCACAGCTACACTGAGCTTTCTACAGCCTGGCTGCTTCAGAAACTCAAAGATGGTAAGAACTCCACGTTCACAAACTGGTACTACTCAATACCTAAAGTAAAAAGCTCTGCTATTTGTATGTAAAATTGAATATAATCAATATTCAGCACGAGAAAGTAAACTACACATATGCACACATAGTAACTCTAGAATACTCACTGACAGTTTCCAATGTCACCCATGCAACTCTTTGTAAAAGCCAAGAAATACAGAACATGAGGGCCTGTCTCTTACGCTGTCTATCACAGGATGACATGCTACAATCAACTCTTCACAGAGATCTGTGAGGCCTCATTTCTGCAGGAATGGCAATGGCCTGCCACCTTGTTCATGCCAGGCAAGCACAACTCATTGGCCTAGACTTTATAAGGTATTTTCTACAGGACACAACTTTCTCTGCATAAGCAACTTAATTCCAAAATTAAGGTGTACTTCATGCTTCAGAAAGTGAAGTATCATCTTTGTCTACCTGTCCTGAAACACTCTGACTGGGTAACCATTATGGCCTATTCTTTCAGTAAATGATGCTAGAGCTCATTCCCATCCAGCAAATGCTAAATTAACCCTACATACCAGACAGCTCTAATAAATTCGAATTCTTTGCCTTCCCAAAACTTTAAACCAATTAGAACTGCAAAAAGGATCAAGAAGTCAACTGATTCTAAAACAAGAGTAAAATTTCATGCACATTTTCCACCTGGTAGAAATAAAACACTGGCTGTATCTTTCTCATATGTTAATAAACCTACCACAGTTTCTTTTCCACCTTCCCCAGTGGTCATAAGAACATCTATTGGAAATATTTGCTCCTCCACATCCAGTAAGTGCAGCCAGCTATGCAACCTGATAGGAAATTCAAAGGACCTCACTCCTAATTCAGGGATATGGACAGTACCCTCCTGGTCTTGTGTGCTGGCTACCAGCAGAATTGCTTCCAGCTAACAAATGTGGGACTACTGTAAATGTTGTGTAACAGCAACTGATTCCTATTTTAGGTGAGTATGCTGATGTACAATTGTAAATGATTTCAGATATTCATACACAGTGCTATGGGCAGTGTTCCTTGGTCACTCACACTGTCCTCAGACATTGTTCTTGTTTTCTAGAGAAATATGGCATAATCACAAGGAAGCTCTGTGCTATATTTTACTGCAGATATAATCAGACAGAATTCTAGATAATCTCATCTGGGCTCCCTCTCCCACAGAAAAGGTTGCACCAGATCACCTTCCGAGGTCCACTCCAAGTCTCCCATTCACACAAGCTAGTTAAATTTAAAAGTCAAACAATAGAGCTGAACATAAAAAACAAGGTGAGCTTTGCTAAGGAAAAAGCAAAAACATCTTCAGAAAAACACATTTGATCACTTCCCCCAAAATAAAGCACTGCAGGCTTTGCAATCTGCTCAGTTTTTACTCAGTTTGCAAAACTAAGATGACTGCAGCAGAAAGTATTTCCAGCATCTGTTGTCAGATTAAGTAACAGGCTTGGGTTTACTTTTACAGACATTTTTCTAACAATCACTGCTGGAACTGCAGAATGCTCACTGACAGCTCACTGCAAGCACATCTGACAAGCAGTAAGCAGCTGAACGCATGAGAGCAGCCCATTTTAAGTTCTAACGAAAACTGATGACTAAATTCTCAATGGCCATCTACAAAAACCATGCACTGGCAAGAGGATACAGACTAACATGAAATTTTGTAGTAATATTTTGTGGAGTTTTTATTTTTTCAGTAAAAAAGACAAAATGTAAACACACACACATTCACACTCTTCACTGATTTTTTTTTTTCCAAGGGGCTTGTAATTCAGTTCATCTCCACTACTTCAGACACTTCTGTGTCCTCCTCATATGGTTGGTATCACATTCTGAGCATGTTTTGACACTGACCTTTCTACCCACTTCTCACAAAAAAATCTCCCACTGAAAAACAATTCAGCAGTTTACTTTGGTTTCATTCTTTCCCCATCTTTCCCAGTACTTTTTCAGAGACTGCAATAAACTTCTGATAGTTAGGCTGAAAAAAGCAAGGAAATGAAAAGTACTAAGATGTAAAGGTAAGGAATACCTTTAGAGTATTTTACCACAGTATTTTATCTGTTCCTGCATCCAGCCTTATCTAACCACAAACACAGTTAAATAGCTACTAATATTTTGTCAAATTAAGTCATATTACAAGTAACTCCACCACTCCCCTTTGTCTGAGATACTGTCATAATCTAGGCAGTTTCATTGAGAGAAAAAAGTTTCTCCTTGCTTTTTTACCCAAAATGTCAGCCCAGTATTTTCTATTACTTTTACAAGTAAATTTAATCTCTATAACATCCACATAGCTTTCATCCTTTCAATACTTCTATGTGCTCAAGCAGCAGCAGAGTTTGTTGAAACAAAAATAATAATTACAATGACAATTGTCATAGACATAATTTGGAAAGCAAGCAGTGTGGTAGGATTCTGAAGTCTTTAAGAAAGAGAAGGAAGTTTATCACCCTCCATGCCTTTTCTCATCCACTGAAGGTTTTGGGTTTTTTCCCCAAATGACAAGAGCAGACTTCTCACAACTACAAAGCTGACTATGCCAGAAAAAGACCCAGTCTTATCACTTTAATTTCACATGATATAACTCTGCTGGAGTACAAAGGTACAGCAGAATTTCCTGCTTCTACTTCCTTTTTCATCTAGGTTCTTCTCCCTTCCATTCCAAAGCACCACTACTCATCAGACTTCATGTTGTTTGGGATAAAACATATGTAATTTCCATTACCCTCACATGGCATTTAAGCCTGATGTTTCACTGACTATGAATGTCACCTTGTTACACTTCCACCCACATTTTCATTCTTCCAAAGTTCATAATTCACGTCAACTTAACAGTGAGAAATTCCTTAATTTCAAAGGAGAAATGTCCACATGCGCAGACAAATTCATATAGCTGCCAGCACACGTGCTCACAACTCTGCCAAGAAGTAGTCATGGAAAATACGACAGGATTACCTGTGAGATTAGCTGCCATCTCTTCAGCAGTCTGACACAGCCTCAGCCCTTGTTTCAGGGGACCTTCCGAGTCCACATACTGACGGCGCTTGAGGTAGCAGGACACTGCCATCTGAATCTGCTCTGTGCGTACGCGTTTCATGACCTCGAAAGAAAGAGAGAGGTGATGAGACTCTTGCAGGGCAGCCTGAGATCCACTTAGCCTGCAGCTGCATCGATACTGATAGAAAACAAACATCTCTGTAGTTTGGTTGCTGAGGTATGAAACAGAACCTTCAGGGATTTAGCTCTCAGTACTATGGCCCAGACATTTTGTAGGTTCCTGAAGATATTTTGCTGCCTAATTTTACTGATTTCACAGAGGAATCAAAAACAGTTTTGAGGATTCTGAACTAAAACCGCAATGGTGAACTGAAGCATTTTTTGTTAAAAACAGCTCACAAAAAGGGAATATCTCTCCTCCTTGAGTTTTGACAGCAGCAGTTTGAGTAATCTTCACTTTCTGGTTTCTCTGCTTGACCAACCAACAACAAAAAAAAAAAAAAAAAAAAAACAAAAAAAAAAAAAAAACTCCAGCAGATTCAGTGGAACGAGAAATTAACATACAAAGATGGAAATTTTGGAAACATAATGCTTTATATAGCAAACCTATTTGGAGAGTCCAAGAAGCAAAAGCTTATTGGCTGAACTTAAAGGTTAGAGCTAGATTTCTGGCACTTCACTCAGATGGTCCCCAGGAAAAAAAAAAGGGAAATTAAAAGCAGAGCCTTCTTTATCATCTGCCTTGACCTATGCAGGCTTCCCTCTTACAAAAGTTTGAAACAGAAATAATCTTTTGAAGGTTTTTTTTTTAAATATACATTTAGGAACCCATCCTCACAAACACCACTTGGAAGTACCTGAAAATCAAAATGAGCCCAAGATTACTTTTAGTCCCTGGTCTGTAATAAAGGAACCTCAGTAAGTTGAATGCTACAGCTCCCTTGCTATTTGGGTAATCGCTGACTGCACCAATCCTTCACAACAGCCATCGACTTTACACAAAAATTTAGATAACCTGAAAGGCTTGAAATAAAGCACAGCTAAGCCACAGGGGTTTCTTCCTATCACAACACCAGGTAAAGCCTGCCTGGAGACAGTTCAACACCTTACAGCCCCACTACCAATGACATGAATGTTTCCTGAGTGCTAGTGCTTCCTGGTTTGAGCAGCTAAATCTGATGAAACTCAACTTCTCTGAGAGAGACAAGGATGCCCTTCCTCCTTTTGTAAGAACCATTATTTCTACCAAAAGGACAGCTTTAAAAATACAAATGAGTTTTTTTCTAATACCCATGCACACTTTAGTGCTTATTGTTAGAAAAATAACCCTTCTGTGAAGTTAGGTACAAGTGGATGAGGATGCAAGGTTTCAGCAATAGTTCACTTTCAACAGATATGTAGAATTGCAAATCCACATGCTTGGGTGAAAACCGTAAAAAGATTCCCATTTGTTCCCACAGGTTAAGTAACTGTTGAGTGTGGGGAAGGGACATCAACAGGTGGGAGTTTTCAAAGCATTTTAAGATAGACCCATTAAAATACAAAGTTTTCAAAACCTTCTTTCATTCCAAAAGCAAACTTCCTTTTCATCTTCCCTGCAGTTAAAGAAGTTATATCTCAGACACTGTCTCAAGTGTAACACTTCTGCTGCACAAAACTGTAGGAAAGACAGAACTCTTATCAAGACCACCAAGTAGAGTGAACCCAAGGATGGACCAGCAACTAAAAGACCTAAAAAACACCCTTAACTAAGCCTCACAAGGTACTGTTACCATTCTGCATTTCAGCCAGCTGCACGGACTCATGTGCAAGTGATTTGCCCAGGCCCACACCAAGGCATTTATGCAATCTGTACAGTTCCTTGCTCCTCTGTGTACTCCCCTCTGCAGTCACAGTAGGGGATGTTAGCAGGATCTCAAGGAGATTTTTTTCCCTACTCCCAGGTGACACAACGGGAACTATGTGTCTTCATCAAGAAATACCCATTAACATCAGAAACAGCAGTCACCCATACTCTAATTTCAGGTCTTTGCTTCTTCCTTCACTTTGCCTTTACACTTCACACTCAGCATTACAAAGAACAATGTCACCAAGGCAGGAAAAGCATTCAGGAAAAGTGCAACAGCAAAAGCAATGCTCCTACAAATATTCTTTATTGAGCCTTTTATCAAAATTAGAGTGTATCATAAAATAAACATAAGAATGGCCTCCCAAAATGCTGTCAGCCTGGTTCAAGGTGCAAGCTACACCAATTCACAACAGGTCAATGATGCAGAATTTAAAGGTATTAAAGGACAAGCCTCCAATTTTTAACTTCCAATCAATTTTAAGATTCTAGCTTTCATAACTGAGGATAATCTCCAAAATATGTAATAAACTGAAAGCAAATAGAGTTCCCTGTTCACAAAATGCATAAAGCTTGAAACAATTGTTCAGAAGTCCCAGTTGTCTCACTCTCCTCGAACAGCCGAAGAGAATAATAAATACTAATGCTGCTAACTAATTTTACTGATAAGCAAAATAAATAAGAAAAGAGAGAAGAAAGATCACATTGTGTGACTGCAGAACTACAATGCAGCATTTTCTGCAGTGTTCCAAACTGGAGCACTGAAAAAAGGTTAAGGTAATTTTTTTTGAGGAACCAGAACTGCTAAAAAAAAGAACAGAGCAGAAGCTAATAACACAAAACACATTGCAAATTCCTCCTTCCTGGAAAATCTGGAAGTTAGTTGTGAACTAAGCATTGGGCAAGGAAATTATTTTCCCGCCTATGCGGGTACAGGTACAGGTTTAGGCAGATTCCACGGCCTTGAAATAATCCCAGTACAGACATACCAAAAAAACCTTAAAAACTAGCACTGAAAACACTGCTTTTAAAGACTCTGGATTCCTGTCCCAACACTGGGACAGCAGTCTCTTTCTTCCAACAGACTGAGGAAAGACCTGTGAGCATCAGAGAGCTAGATTAAAAAACACCCAACCCCCAAACTAATAAAAGCATAAAACAAAAGCATCTTTTGAATATTCTCTAATAAGAACTCTGTCTCAGGCCTCAGTTTTGGACAGCAAAAAATAATCTTTTATCCTTTATCACCGCAGGTGAAATGTGGGGCCTACTAACAATAATAGGTCCCAATTTTTAATTTTGTGACATTAGGATAATCTGAAATTTACAAAATTTCAGAATAAACGACATAAAGATAAACTTATATGGAGATAACCATGACCTAAGAGCCAAGGGATGTCGCACATGCAGCAGCTGCAATTCACAAAAACAGGCAAATAAACATGACAAGTTGACTTGGAGAGCACGGTAGTGGTGCAAAACAGGAAAATAGGATAGCAGGAACTACGGAGAAGGCTTTCGGCTGAGCAGTGGCATTCATGTGAAGAGGCAGAGAGGGAACAGCTGTGATTTTAAAAGAGCATGAATCCATTTGCATTTGGACCGAGATCTGGCTCACCATCCACGAATGACGCTTTGCCAATTCCACATTGTTTCCCCCCGACCCCCCCGCGGCCCCAAGCCGGTGCCAGGCAGCGCTTCACCGCTGTCCTCGG